CTTTATAAACATAGTGGGTGATACAGCTTCTGCCCTGAGGAATGTACAGTTGACAAAGGTAATTGCAGAGGGAAACAAAGCAGCATCGATCAGGCTGACAGTGGACACATGCACACTGAAGCCATATGCGCTGGTTATTGGTTCCACTTCCACTCCACACACTTCGTCCTGCATTCACCCCTCCTCTTCCCTTCCTCATTCATCATGTTTGTCTTCTCTGCCTCATGCCTGTGGCTTTGGCCTGTTCCCTTTCTAATTCTAAATTCCATTAGTAATGAGGCAGAAAGGCAGGTGTAATTAAACTTGTGTCAAGAGGGATATGAACAAGGAGAATGCAATATTCTGGTGAACTTTATAGGGTAGAGCTTTATAGGGTAGTTTCCTATTAATGTACTAAAATGTGGGTGAAGCTAACCCAGACTTTAGCTAGAGACATAATATTTCTTGAAAAGCTTTGTTGTTGGGGAGAGACATTTAGGGGGGGAATGAAATATATCAAATACTGGATTTCTAATCAGACTTACTTTACTACTTTAAGAATATGGAATGTACTGTGTATGACATAGCACATAAAACTGCATTTTTGGAGGGGTATATTTGGATCCATTTAAAAGTATAAATGCCTTTGAACCATAGAGATCCAAAATAGATATATCTTAGTCTCTGCCTATTAGGAAAAATAGAAGTGTCAAATTTGTGAGAGAAAGGATAGCCATAGAATGAAGCAAAGACAAATATAAGAGGCTGAAAGGAGAAAACTGACATTCATAGGACAGGCAACAAACCACAAGGAAGAATGGGGAAGGGGAATCATGTCATTGGAAAAGAAAGATATAATGCACAGTTGTTAAAAACGAGGAAGTTGGAACATTTTTCCATCTAAAGAAAATGGAAAATCAAGAGAAATAAAGTCCTGATAGACAGAAAAACTTGGATAAGGTATGAATGTTAGAAGAGCAGTAAAAAAATAAGTGCTTCAAAGTATATTGTGTGAGCTTCAGTAACAATAAATTAATTATTGTAATGATATATACATAAAAGTATAGAAACCCTGTGATGGGGGTGGGATAGTAATACGCAGGAGAAACAATAAATTAGAAAGTAAATAGAAAATGCTAAAAGAAAGAATGGAATAAGTATAGAAAATGGGAGAAATGGAGACATTATAACAGTTTGAAAAGGGGAATATATGAAAATGAATGACAGCCATCCATATGTTCCATGAAATGAGCACCAAGCCAAGTTACAAAGTTAATAAAATGAACTCAGTGAGCGGAAGAATTGTATAAGTAAGTAACTGAAAGAAAACCAGAGGCATTTAAAAAGCATTAAAGCATTTTGACATTTCACCCTGAAAAAGCAGTAACAATAGAGGAAAGACATCAATAAGAAAAAGAACAGTATTCGTTTCAAGCTAGGTCACCAAGTATTTGAAAACAGTTCAGAGCAGAGTAGCATATAAAGCGTAGAAAAGAAAAGAAATGAAGGGGGAGGAATCACAAGCGTTGGAAAATACGCTGAAAAATATTATAAAATATTTAAAACACTAGGGTTGGTGGAAGCATTTCAAGTGAGAGGGTCAAAGTTGTGCAAGAGAAACTAGTTGAATGGGGTGGGGGATTTTAAATGGGACCCAGTCCACTTTCAAGCTGAGCTAAATTCATAATAGAGCTTTCCCCGTATTTCATCTGCTCCTTTCCCCCTCCCTCTTAGTTACTTTTCATGCCCATTCCTTAACAGACTACAAGGACAAAAATAAAAATAGCAAAATATAAAACCCCACCCCATATCCCCTTGTTTTTAATAATTATTTAATGTAATTATTTAATGTGATTTGATTTGATTTTTATCTCACTACATCTGAGTAAAGGGCAAATCCTTACAAATAGTACTGATATTGCATAGAGAACATAATATCAGAAAGATCCATAACTTCTTATTCTTTGACCACAAAGTTCATGGGCTTCAGAAAACAGATTTGCATGAATTGAAAGGGTAATAATAATAATAATAATAATAATAATTTATCTGGGTGGCTCCCAACAGAATATTAAAAACACGATAAAACATGTTTAGACAGCCAGGTTTTACCCTAATTTACTCAGTGCCTATTTGTATCATTAGCTGGACTTGACTCCTACCTTTCTTAAAGTAGCATGTGCCTCTCTGAGGGGATTCTCATTTTATTTGGAATGATTGAACGGAAGGCAAATGGATAGACCAGTGTAATGTGGGTAGATTATCACTCTGGGAAACCTGAGCTCACGGCCCCATTCTTGTGCCCATCGCTATCTCTTAACATAACCAACCTCACTTGGTTTTTGAGGGAGTAAAATGAGGCGGTGAGGTAACTATGTGTGCCACTCTGTGATCCTTGGAGGGAGGGTGGGGTGAAAATGAACATAGTTTAATTGGGTTTGCTTTTTTAAGGGAGAAGGCAATTGGGAGACGTGCCATTGCACACACAAAAGTAAGGTTGTGGTCATCCAGCAGGAGCATTGTTGCAAAAGTGGGTTTAAAGGTAAAGGGACCCCTGACCATTAGGTCCAATCGTGACCGACTCTGGGATTGCGGCACTCATCTCGCTTTATTGGACGAGGGAGCTGGCGTACAGCTTCCGGGTCATGTGGCCAGCATGACTAAGCCGCTTCTGGTGAACCAGAAACGCCATTTACCTTCCTGCCGGAGCGGTACCTATTTATCCATTTGCACTTTGACATGCTTTCGAACTGCTAGGTTGGCAGGAGCAGGGACCGAGCAACGGGAGCTCACCCCGTCGCGGGGATTCGAACTGCTGACCTTCTGATCGGCAAGCCCAAGGCTCTGTGGTTTAACCCACAGCGCCACCCACGTCCCTAAAAGTGGGTTTTGTGTGGCTGTAATCTGAAGACTCTGAAAACCTTCCTTTAGTTTATTTGTGTGTGTTTTTAAAGGGGGGGGGGTCATGATGGCCAATCTGGTTGGTATGATTTAGAAGGGAGCCCAGGCACGTTAAAGAATGATAAACTGTCACAGAAGATGTGTGTTAGAATGTAATCCTGTTAAAAATGTCTCTGCAGTATCACAGCATCTTACATAATTGAAAAGGAACTGGTCCTCTATGACAGAGGCGGCTTGTAAGAGATCAAAGCCTCAAACAGTGCATTAGGTAATCTGTCCATTTCCACAGGAGCACAGGGCACACCAGTGAGGCAAAAATTGAATGTTCTGCCTTAACCAGGTGTGAGGCTATGATTTGGATTGTGCTGTGAAAAACAAAATAGATCAGTTTATTTAGCTAGCTAATGTCGGCATCTCCCCCCTCCATGCGCACACGAACACACACACACTCTTGATACAGTTTGGGTAAAATCCTGGCAGCTGTTAATTACCTACAATTCAATTAACAGTGGGAGCTTAATGTGTGCCATACTTCTCTCTGTACTTTACTCTATTATATAAGTTACTGTAAGATCAACTAATGCCATCAGTTCAAACAAATGTATTGAAATGTAAGTAATGGAAGCATTGCCCCCATATTACAAAATACAAATTAATCATCAAGCGTGAGATCTTTCATAACCAGCATTATCCCAGCATGCTTTAAGGAACTAAATATTTCAGCTTTAAATTTAAATAATGAATAATGCCAGAGGGAGAAAGCAAAATTAGGACTGCTTTGAACATTACTGGCTGAACTGCATGGTAAAACCTTTCCAAATGGAACAGAACACTCTCTCATTTATCATCCCCAGCATCAGGTCATCAAAGATACTAGAGGTAGTATTGTCAGTGTAACTACTAGCCGTTGATAGCTTTGTCCTCCATGAATCGGTCTGAGCCACTTGTAAAGCCAGTCAAGTTGGCGGCCATCCCTACATAATGTGGGACGAAGTTCCACAGTTACATTGTACTACGAAAACAATATTCTCAGGGCTGGTGCTACCATTAGGCAGAGTAAGGAAGCTGCCTCAGGTAGCAGTCTCTGGGGGGCAGCAGGGGCAGCCCCAGCCATTTGTCTTTGCATGATATCAGAGCTGTGTGTTCTACAGAGCCTGTCACTGTAGGTAGGTGTACATATTGCATAACATTTATACACAGCTTGGTTGTACAAAACTTCAAAGCGGTTTACATTAAAATAAAGAAAAATTCACAACCATACTTTAAAACATGTGTGCACCCTCTAAACTAGCCTGCTGCTCTCAAGGTCAGTGGAGGATGCTATCCTATTGCCAGTATTAAAGTAAGATCCAATCAGCTTCTTGTATGCAAAATGGGGAGGTGCCATCTTGTCCTCTGCTTCAGGTGGCAAATAGTCTTGGGCCAGCCTTGCATGTGCGGTGTGAAGAATTACTTAGCTCACTGGAAAAGCTTTGTATGCAGAAGGTCCCCGGTTCCATCCTCAGCATTTTCAGGCAAGGCTGAGAGAAGACTCTCAGTCAGAAATCCTGTCAGAAATCCTGGAGAGCCAGTGCCAGTCAGTGTTAACAATACTGAGCTAGATAGACCATTGGTCTGACTCGCTATAGAACTGTTTGCTATGTATTGGATGGGGTGGTTGGGGGATGTTTGTCCTGAATCTCCCAAACACCCAACCTCATTAGATGACTCCACTTTCTGGCGTTTTGAGAGGAGAAGAAAAACACCACTCCCATTTTCTCCACACAATGCATGGCTTTATTATGCACCTTGGGGTAGGGGTAGCAAGCAGCACCTAACTTTGAAGTGCACCAGAGTCACTGCTGCCCCCAAAATCCTACCAGGAACTCTGTGCAGCTTAAAACTCTAACCTGAGCTTGCTGCCCACTGCTATGTCATTAGCCTGGGAACCAATTATCCTTCTTGCTTCCCCAGCTGATTTTTCCACTTGGTTTTAGAAGCTGGAAGAGAGGGAGAGGGAGAGAAGCCGCCTAGATTATTTATGTTACCATTTCACAAAGTTAATGAATTTCTGTGCACAGGATGTTTGTCAGTTAACAATGCCACATTATTTATTTTCCCTTCTCTCCCTTTCTTAACAGATTTCTCAAATCCAGCCTCAAGCTAAAATGAATGCCTTGCCGACTGAAGGAAGCTGAGGACCCTGTCACCGCAGCCAACAGAAGTACTAATCCAGCCGTCCTGTCCGTCTCTGGTTGACGTTTGGCACCTTGCTCTGGGTTACCTGTACGGGACACAGTTACCTTAGCATTCAGCATACATGGCGAGAGGCAACAACATGTGTAAGCCTGGCTAGCAGGACAGCGACTTTCCAAGTGAAAGGCCATCTAATTATAAACGGATTATTTTGCATTTCGCCTCTGGGACGTTACCTCTTACCTGCATAGAAACACAGCATCTCTTTCCGTTTTTTTTTTACTTCTTTTTGCTAGCATTTCCCCCCTTTTTTCAGTATTTTGTTTCTTCATTTAGAAATGGGCCCGTGGACTAGAATGTGGCCCGTGGACAGGGTTGTTTTCTTTAAATCATGGCTTGTCTTTTCTCTGGGCCTCTCCATGCAGTTCTCCGAAGCTCTGGCCTGTCCAAGTGTGTGCCGCTGTGACCGGAACTTTGTCTATTGTAACGAGCGAAGTTTGACCTCAGTGCCTCTTGGGATACCGGAGGGTGTAACTGTACTCTACCTCCACAATAACCAAATTAATAATGCTGGATTTCCTGCAGAGTTGCACAATGTCCAGTCTGTGCACACAGTCTACCTGTATGGCAACCAGCTGGATGAATTCCCCATGAATTTGCCCAAGAATGTCAGGGTTCTCCACCTGCAGGAAAACAACATCCAGACCATTTCTCGGGCTGCTCTAGCACAGCTCTTGAAACTGGAAGAGCTGCACCTGGATGACAATTCCATCTCTACCGTGGGGGTTGAGGATGGGGCATTCCGGGAAGCTGTTAGCCTCAAGCTTCTATTCTTGTCCAAGAACCACTTAAGCAGTGTGCCTGTTGGCCTTCCAGTGGACTTACAAGAACTACGAGTCGACGAAAACCGCATTGCCATCATATCAGACATGGCCTTCCAGAATCTCACAAGCTTGGAACGTCTCATAGTAGATGGCAACCTCCTTAACAATAAAGGCATTGCAGATGGCACCTTCAGCCACCTATCCAAACTCAAGGAGTTCTCTATAGTACGGAATTCACTAACATACCCTCCCCCTGAACTCCCAGGTACAAACCTGCTTAGGCTTTCTCTACAGGACAACCAGATTTCACACATACCACTTTCAGCCTTTTCAAACCTCCACCAGCTGGAGAGACTCGATATTTCCAACAATCAGCTCCGGATGCTGTCCAGAGGTGTCTTTGACAACCTTCGCAACTTGAAGCAACTCACAGCAAGGAATAATCCCTGGCTATGTGATTGTAGTATTAAGTGGGTCACCGAATGGCTCAAGTTAATCCCTTCCTCTATCAATGTGCGAGGGTTCATGTGTCAAGGACCAGAGCACGTCCGAGGCATGGCTGTCAGGGAACTCAACATGAATATGTTGTCATGCCCCACAACCACCCCTGATCTGACGCTGGTTACCCAAGCTCCCTCTACATCCCTGCCAACCACAGTAACCCCTACGTCACCGGTCTTTACACCAAGTGACAAACGCACTCCTCTTCCCCACACTGTAGCCACACTCCCCACTGTGCCTGAGAGGGACGACGAAGAAAAAGTGACCCCTCCCATTACTGAACAGTTCCAACTCTTCATCCACATTGTGAATGACACTTGCATCCAAGTCAGCTGGCATTCCCTTTTCAACGTGATGGCCTACAAACTGACCTGGGTTAAAATGGGCCACAGTCTGGAAGGCGGCATCATTCAGGAACGGATAGTTAGTGACAAGAGGCAGAACATTAGCTTGGCGAGCCTAGAGCCCAAATCCACGTATCGGATTTGCTTGGTCCCCTTGGATGATTTTAATAATTACCGAGTTGGCGAGGACACCGTCTGCTCTGAAGGCACCACCAAGGCTTCCCTGCTGAGCAATGGAAGCAACACGGCTTCCAGCCACGAACAGACCACTTCTCATAACATTGGGTCCCCGTTTCTCTTGGCAGGCTTGATCGGGGGGGCCGTGGTGTTTGTACTGGTGGTCCTGCTCAGCATCTTCTGCTGGCACATGCACAAAAAGGGACGCTACACCTCTCAGAAATGGAAATACAACCGGGGCCGGCGGAAAGATGACTACTGCGAAGCAGGGACCAAGAAGGACAACTCCATCCTGGAGATGACGGAAACCAGCTTTCAGATTGTCTCCTTAAATAATGATCAACTCCTTAAAGGAGATTTCAGACTGCAGCCCATTTATACCCCAAATGGGGGCATTAACTACACAGACTGCCACATCCCCAACAACATGCGCTATTGCAACAGCAGTGTCTCAGACCTGGAGCACTGCCACACGTGATAGTTGAGGGGGTTGTGTGGCGAGACACCTGACGCTGAGAGCAAAAACTCAGAGGGAGGAAAACAAAACAAACCTACTCACACAAAACAAACAAAACAAAACAAAAATTACATTTGATAAATGTTACACAGATGCATTTGTGCATTTGAATAATCTGTAATTTATATGGTGTACTATATAATGGGATTTAAAAAAAAGTGCTATCTTTTCTATTTCAAGTTAATTGCAAACAGTTTTGTAACTCTTTGCTTTTTAAATCTTAAAAGAAAAATATATTGCTGAAGTACTGTACAGGGTTGTACAATAAGAACCCAATGCCATGGCAAAGGAAAGAACACCTCATTCTTCAAACATTAACCACTTTGCTTTCTTGGAGCTGTTTGGGGGATAGCAGCTCGTACATTTTCCAGTAGTTTTAGGAGATAAGTTTGTATTAAATGAGGAATCATGTGGAATGTCTAAGGTAGAGCAAATGACAGGAGAAATACAAATTAACCTCCTCTTTTGGTTCATAAAATCAGAGTAACTCATGTTAAACTTAGTTCATCACTTCTACCTGCCTCTGTACCTTTTAATTCCCCACCCTCCAGCCAGAGAAGAAATTAGGGCCTTTTTGGTATCAAACACTATGAATCTCCACCATTGTTTATGTTGATATCTTTTCTTCCCCCCACAGGATGTTCATAATGCATCTGTCCCTCCTCGCAAAAGCTGATGTGAAAATATTCAAGGCAAAATCTTAGTTTGTTTTTAAGTTCTCATAAAAATCAGGACATTATTTTAAAAAAGAAAATCTTGACCAGTCTTGTCAGAACTTTTAGTCTACATTCAGATTTTTATATTCTTATTCCCTCCACCCCAGCCCAAAAGCACATTTCTTTAGTTCTGGCCAAGACCAGAGCTAAAGTTGGCCTTGAACTTATTGAATAGTATTCATTCCAGCAATCCAAACAGATGTGGTTAGTTGGCCAGGGCAGCTAGCAATACCGATTCTTATCACTAGAAGGATAATCCCAAACACTCTTAACTCAACAGAGGAATTCATGTTGCTATTTCTTAGTTTTACACCTATCCCTGGCTAACTTAGACTGAAATCTGATATACATGTACCTGGGAGTCAGGCCCATTGGCCTCAGTGGGGCTTAATTCTGGGGAGACATGGTTCGGACTGTGCTCTAAAAAAATAATAATTCTTTTTTACTTCACTCACTGAAGTTCGCCTGCTCCATGAGGAGGAAAGTGAATATTGCGAGGCATTTAAAGGATATAAACAATTCAGTGAGGAGCGTTCCACAGTTCTCCAGAGAGATAAAATCATCAGGCCTAAGTTCAGTTTTAGCCAGGCAGAAGATAATGTGTCAAGAAAAAGATCCAGTTAAATATGTTTTAAAGGATTTGTGAGGCGCATGTCACCTTAAATGCATTCCACATCCTTTGACAATCCCACTTTGGTAGAACGTGTTTGGTCCTTGAGGCTACAGCAGTGCTCCCAATTTTGTCTGATTTCCACCAATATTATTTTGAGAATGTTGTACCTCTGCAAATGACACCCTGGGAATGTATGGTGTACAGTCCCTATTAAAATGAAACAGAAATTGACTCAACCACTCCTCCCTTTAAACCTTGAACACACCCACATAATCCCAAATATGTGATATCAGAGCACAAAAAAATCATAAAAACAAATTCTATTACTTGCTCTCCTTGACTTACATTGATTTGGGGAGGTAGAGCTTTTATTGAAACCCTTTCCTAACATCAGAAAGACCAGACACAAGTTGTCATCTCAATAAAATATGTTTTAATTGAAAAGTTAACCACAATTACTTTTGAGAAACTGGAATTACTTAAGGGGTTGAGCTGAGGGGGCAGTTAGTACTTGCTCTGCTCAGTCTCTTGTTCATCACAAAACTGCATTCTGCACACAGCTTCTTCAGTTCCTTGACAATCTTCACCCGCCACTCCAAGGAGATTGATCAGCACTTTGGCGTACAAAGGCAGAGTACAATCACTTCCCGAGGAATTTTGTCCTTTCCCACCCAACACCTTTTATAACCACATTTTGGATTTCCATTCTATATTCTGTATATTTGCTATTTTCTCCAGCTATAACAGGTATTTTAGGCAACCTGTGTGGCTACTGTAATAGTGAAGTCACTGAACCTTTGCTAAATAAAAGGCTGCCGTATGGTTTGAAATGGTGTAATTTTAGCTAGAAACCTTTATGCAAAGCGTTTTCTTTTTCTTCCGGCTATATAAGCTGTTTGGCTGTTGACAAAAGGAAATTCTTTTTAAACATAAATAGTGGTATGACTCTCCACAGTGAAAAAGTACTTGCATGTGTGTGCATAAGGAATCAGAGAACTGTAGAGTTGGAAGGGACCCCGAGGGTCATCTAGTCCAACCCCCTGCAATGCAGGAATCTCAGCTAAAGCATCCATGATACATGGCCATCCAACCTCTGTTTTGAAACCTCAAAGGAAGAAGAGTCCAGTACCTCTCATGGGAGACCGTTCCACAGCTTTTACTGTCAGGAAATCCTTCCTGATGCTTAGTCAACTGGTGCTTGTTGCAAGCATGCTCAACAGGGGTTACATTTAATCTACCCCGATTTAATATATAGATTTCATTTCAGCAGAGAGATGAATGAGAACTGGTTGGTACTAAAGGTGTCACAGCGCTACTAGCTGAATAGTCTAGGAACCAGTTTTCTTTTTCTTTTAAAGACTACAAAAGGTAAATGTGGCTGATGTTCAAATGTATGCCTGAAAGACTAAAAGTTAAGTGTAGAAAACATCAGCTGCATGTTAGTCCTCATTGCTCAATAATGCAGGCACGCACAAAATTCAACCACAGATGTGCTGTTCCTTCTCACAGATCAATAATGTGGTCATGGTGATGGATAAGCTCAGCCTTCGGAATTAAAGTGAAGTGTCTAGACAGGAAGGCTGTTTCAAGGACCACATAATCTCAGAGGCCATGCAGAAAGGGATCCATAATCTAAACTAGTGCTGCGCTGAAATCCAATTATTCAAAAGTTTTATGCTCCTGGGAAAGAGGCTTCCATTTTCCACCCACATTATCAGGGCACTATAGACTTTCTTTAGAATGTCTCTGGAAGTTCAGCAGATATAGAGTTCTCAGTTTAACTTATTTCTGTGAAGTGGTGGTGTGGGTGTCTTCCTTCCTAGTAAACATTTTGCAAGCACTTTGCAGCCTCCCTGGCTGTCTCAGCTTCCTAATATCAAAGAAGCCCAAACGGGAAGGTTATGACACAACATTTCCCCCTTAATAAAAGTGTAGACATTCAGGGAAGTTGCAGAGGTCTATTACTAGAACTCATTTCATTTATTACCCATCCTTCACCCTAACATCACTAGGTAGGTCATGACAATTTAAAATACAACATTAAAAGCACATTACAATTACAAAAGTAGGGTGGATCCATATATCTCAGGTACCAATGGCCCTGGTGTCAATGGCCCAGTTCACCAAAAACTGGATAGTAGAGGTGCCAGGTACACCTTTGTGAGGAGGGGATTCCACGACTTAGGGACTTCCACAGAGAATGCCTCTCATGTGCCATCACCACCCTGAGCTTCTGAAGGCAGTGAAATAAGATTGAAAAGATCTTACAAACATCCCCAGCCACCATAATAGCAAGCTGACCATGGGAAACCACTGCACCCCACCCATGATAAATTCACTGGTTATTTTTTTCTTTCCTGTTTGATAATTTTTAATGCAATTTCTTTTCTCAATAATTGATTGTTATGGAAGGAAGGGAGAGAACATGGGTGAAATCTTCTGAACTGAAGACATAATGCTGTAATAAGTCAGGAGTCACATGAACCTGATGCTCCAGAGCTGTTTTAATTCCAGATCAGTCTCCCATCCACCATGGCTGGCATGCCTCATAATATAAGCTCTCTTCAGAAGAAGCCTAAAGCATTTAGTAAATGTGGAACAGGGGGAACACCTACAGACCCTGCCCACAACATCAATGTATCCCACTGACTCTGTCCACTGACTTTCATGTGCTCAGAGTAATGTCTGAAGTGGGCACTGCATATGTATACACTGTGCATTCCGATACTCCGTGTGCCTGGGCCCATAGACACTCCCTTCAGACCATTGCCAAATGCATGAAGGCCAAGGTATGTGTGGAGCTGGTGGATGCAGAACCTTACCATCTTGGATTTTAATTTAAGCCATAAAATAATTTGGACTTTGGATTGTGCATGACAATCCCTTGAAACTCATGTACATGTTCTGGTTGCATCTCTGAGCTCAAGTAGTATACACTATTTCAATTAGAGAACAGGTTCAAGGCTTCTTACATTAGGATATGGAGGGCCTAGGCCAGCCTTGAGTCCCCAGATGTTGTAGGACTACAACATCATCCCTGAGCACTGGTCCTGCTTCCTAGGGATGATGAGAGTTGTAGCCCTACAACATCTGAGGTCCCGAATTTGATAAAAGGCTGGTCTAGACTATTACTCCAATTGCAGCTTTCAGATTTTTTATAGTTCTCCTCCTGTGGGACCAAGAATTATCCAAGGCACACAATAAGAGCAAAAATGCTGCAATCCCCATAGGTTCTGAAGTCTCAGACATAACCCTAAGGGAAACATGAGCTTCCAGAGCTCTCTTGGGAGCAAGGGAAAAGTGTATAGCCATCTTCCTAAAAGCCATCAAATGTTATCCTCAAAAAACACTGAGGGCTGACTTCCCTAGCCAAATGATTTCCGATACGCAATTCTGTAGGTACATTGTGGGACAGCTGAAATCTCTGCAAGGGCCCTATCAAGGATAAATCAAGATTGATGCAGGATTTAAATTGATGCAGGATCTAAATTTGCAGGATTGGGAGTCCTGTTATCACCACTTTCAATCAGACTGCATGAAAACACAGAAGAAACAAAATAAGTCCCTTGAGACAAATATATCCTTCTTAAGTTCTATATGTGCGACAGAAGGCGTGCCATCTCCTGTTTCCACCCAATTTGTCTTGCCAAGCTAACAATAGAGAATGTTTGTTTGTTTAAGTATTTTTTATACCACTTTTCATTTACAGAAAATACCAAAGTGGTTCGCATTATAAAACACACAAAGTTCAATAAAAACAATAAATGTGAGTCTCAGCATCACAGAAACCAAAGAGAACAGGAAATGGCACCAGCAGTAAAGCTTTGGTGAACAGACGAGTTTTAATTCATAGAGGAGATAACCCACCAATGTTATCCACAGAATCTCAAAGGGAGAGCATTCCACAATATTGTGGGCATCACAACAGAAAAGGCCCTTCTCTGGATCCCCACCCAATGGACACCTGCAAGTTGAGGAAGGACACACCTGCAGACTTTAGTGACCTGGGCAGTCTATAGAACAGAAGGTGGTTCCTCTGTAGGACTGCATGGACTACAAGACAAACCCATGAACCTCCATTCAGAGATTCATGATACACTACACAATGTGTTTGCCATGGTTTGGTAGTTTGGGGTGGAAAACTTTGCTGGCATGCTGGCTGTATAGCCTTTGATAAGTTGATCTACTGGTCTGGTTGTGGGGCAAATATTGATTTGGGAGTGTTCATATCTTAAAATAGGGGATTTCAGTCTTTCAGCCATCAGGGAACCCATTCCACTGACTCCCCTGATGAAGAATCCTATCCTCAGTAATGGAGCCATGTGCCTTGCCTGTTATTCTGAGATGTGCTCTAGAGTTCACACTTAGTTTATGAGCCTCATTGGCCAAATTTCTGAGATTTCAGTATCACTCCAACACTGGGAAGGGGACAGTGCCCTCCACCACATCTGAGGAAAACAAGCTTGCTAAAGGGGCCCTGGGTAGGCTGGGATGGTAGGGCACCCACAGCTCTGCTCTCCAACACCTCACTACCACTCCAGTACCTTTTGCCTGTGGTTCCCTCTGTCTAACAGCAGGGCTGGTGCTAGGGATGCTGACTGTGATTGTGATTCTGGGTACCTTCTGACATAGTCAGCTATAGGGAAGTGACTGTTATTGTTGTTTAGTCGTTTAGTCGTGTCCGACTCTTTGTGACCCCATGGACCAGAGCACACCAAGCACTCCTGTCTTCCACTGCCTCCCGCAGTTTGGTCAAACTCATGCTGGTAGCTTCGAGAACACTATCCAACCATCTCATCCTCTGTTGTCCCCTTCTCCTTGTGCCCTCAATCTTTCCCAACATCAGGGTCTTTTCCAGGGAGTCTTTTCTTCTCATGAGGTGGCCAGAGTATTGGAGCATCAGCTTCAGGATCTGTCCTTCCAGTGAGCACTCAGGGCTGATTTCCTTAAGAATGGAGAGGTTTGATCTTCTTGCAGTCCATAGGACTCTCAAGAGTCTCCTCCAACACCATAATTCAAAAAGGGAAGTGACTACAGCCCTGGAAATTCTCTCAATTCTGGCACAACCCATGGTTGGTGTGGAGGGGGAAAACCATACCCACTCCCTAATAGCAACAAGTGACCAAAGGTGCAGACAGTCAACTCCAAAGTCACTCTTAAAAACATTGGGTCAAATGTCAGCTATGCCATTATGAAAGGTAAGTGCAGAAAGGTCCCAGCATTTTGAATATACTCCCATTTAACAAAACACGGCATCTTTCATTATGTGTAAATGTATTTGGCCTTCAGGAAAACAAAACAGCACCCCGCAGAATTGACTCCCTGCTCTCAGTCAGCAGCAGGGCAGGGAAAGGAGAGCAACATCACAGCTGTATGTTTTATTAGATATTATTTATTTTAAATTCCTAATTAAACATAATCCCCTATAAACTAGTCTAGGACTGCATCCAAGGCAGGACAGGCAGGTTGGACCAGATTCCAGGTCCCTAGGTCGAGGCCATGTTGCAGACCAGGGGGCTGTGCAAAGCTCAAATTAGGAGAGGCACAATGCCTTATATTTAAGCCCTATGAAACATAAGTTGCTTAACTTTAGCCTAATCGTTCCTTGTGTGTTCTTTAAAAGTGGAGCCATACCTAAAGAGAATGTTAGAATGCCAGATGCAAATGTAACCTTCATTTTCAAAAACCCAGCAGCTGCGCTTCCACTGAACGAGCAGGTGCCACTTATATAGGTGGCTATAATTGTCATGGGATAAGCTGCACAAATAAATGTGCTTGCTTGGTAGTTTTTGTTTTAATCCATCACATGCCTTTTGCCCTGCAATCTAATTCTCCGAAATTCA